GGCTCTATTGCTAGAACCTTCCTCCTCATTACTTGCAGACCTAGACGAAAGTATCAGTCTTACTAATGAAAAGAACATAGAAAACTTCTCAGACTGACTACTAGTTTTGGGGTTGTTTGTTGTTGTTGGGGGAAGCATTGCGGGGGTTGTTTTTTGTTTGTGGGTTTGGCATGTATTTTTCCAGTGGTCTTTTTGGTTTTGCATTTTTGGTGGTTCTCCCCCCTCACCCCACCCCATGTGTGGGGTTCTTTTTTTTATACTGTAGGAAGTTATTGGGAAAATAGTTTAAAATGAAGGTGTTTGACAGGTGTATTTACATATTTTTAAGCACTGCTCAAAGAGATCAAAATTTGAAGTGCTGAAGGAAAAAATCTGTTGTGATAACAACCGTAAGATTATCAAACTTGATCACATTTTTCCATTACATATATTACTTAGTGAAGATGAATACGGGCAGACCCTGTTATTATCCAACAACATGGCAGTAAGCAACCAGAACAACAAAAATTGTAGATGCTTTTACAGATGGGGGGGGGGCAGAAACTTTACAATATCCTTCATTATTTAGAAGATTGTACAGTGACACACACGTGACAATACTGAATTTCTCAACATCAAAATATTTTGCAAGAACTTACTGCACTGAAAAATTCAGAAATGTAAGGATTTACTTGTTCAGTTTGCAAGAGAACATTGAAAAAACCCACTAAGTTAGTACCTTTTGGTTTTTAAACTTACAAATGTCTAAACTTAAGTATCACCTTGATCAGCCTCACATTCTATACAGTATCTCTTTGGCCTTGCCCACACAAGAATACCTGCAATATCTGTTTCACATTCACTAGGCTCTCTTCCCACTCCTAAATCCAACACTTCTAATACATCACCCATAGTCACAGCTGGTTCCAGCATAGTTGTTTTCCATTTGAAACTGATGATAACAAAAACAAGTTATTGGGTGATATTGCCAGGAGAAAAATCTGAAGCCCATTTTTCTTTTAAAAATACACCTGAATGAGTACCTAACAGTAATCTTCCCAATATCGTGATATGAACAATAGTTGATAAACACCATAAATGGCAAAAATCAAGAGTGGCTGTCACAGGTAATTTGAACAATTGTTTTTGTAAAGAGTGGCTTTAACAGAGTTATACTATGAACCGAACAACATACAAAAATCACCAAACACACTCTGCTGCATTCCTCCAAGCCAGAACCAAGAATTTGGGAATAATGGTACGTAGTCCAAACTAATAGGATCAGTGCCCAGTTAACAAGATTACAGCTAAAAATGCTTTGCCACTGAAAAAGAGACGAAAAAAGAAAAAGACAGCTGATGGCCAAGAACAATGACAATAAACCCAGCAGAATACTGTGGACTTTGCGTTGTGTCCTAAAGGCAGATCAGATTGTTAGAATATTAAGCCTGGTTGAAGAGCCTTTTGTGAAAAATGAAGGTAATAATTAACCAGAATTTGTACATCAAGAACAAATCACAGCTTAGAAATCTGTACAGCATTTATGTAAGGTTTTGTGAAACTCCTGAGACAAGTTCAGAAACTTTGATACTCTTCCAGGAAACAGCAACAAGCAGCAAACTCAAAGATTTGCAAGTCTAAAACTGTTTAGAATATTCAGAGAATAAAGACATAGCAATCTCAGTTTTTGCTATTTTACGTGTAAATGTACTCCGTTACAGTGGGAATACCAAGGTCCTTTGTTCAGCCTCCACAGCAAGTGAAGGTTCACAGTTGATCCCACAGAAACCATATGAAAAAAACTTTTAACTCCAAAACTGAGATTTGCTCATTAGCTTTTTTGCAATCAGTCAGAAAGGCCATCAAATCAACGTGAAAGACTATAAAAAAAAATTGCTTGGTTCTAGATAATTTAAGTGACACTCCAGATATGCCATCTTGTAAGTTTGCAACTGCACCTAAAGGGCAGAGTTCAGTTTTAAGAACAGGTGCCCAAAATGAATGAGCAATCCATACCTCACCTATTATTTCAGCTTTGTGAGTCAAAGAACCATAGCAGATCACTTTAGTAAGGCACATAATGTAACTTCTAGCAAGTTGATCCTGGCCACTCCATTACTCAAGTGGATGAAAAATAGAGAGTATAGTCCCTCATTCTTAAGTGAGCAATGCAAGCTTATGTGCTTCTGTTTCCCAGATGCGTAGCACCAAGGTAAAAATGCTGCTGAGCCCAGCTTATACAGCACAGCAATGGGAAAAGCTTAGAACGATTCCTTAATTTTCTACCAAATGCTCTGTTTGTGCTGTTGTGGTTTAAAGGTGCCACATTACAGAAATTTTAACAAATTTATTGAAAGATTTTCCTTCAACTTGATTCATCCTTCTAAATACTGAACCAAGAACCGCTTAGACTGATTTGACAACATACCATTATAAAACCATGGCAAAATGTGCATTATCAATTACACATGCAAAGTGACCTAAGTACAAAGTCATACATTCTCCCAGCTTAGCTGCTGCCAAAAACCTATGTCAGAAAAGCTTGAATTGTCTGAAACAATATGCCAGTAATTTCACTTTGGTCTTACTCTTTGTAATCACCTATTCAAAGACATATCTTTGTGAAGCACCTCAGTAACACATCTCATTTGGTCGGACAAGTCCTCCCCCTCAGATTCAGAGTACCAGGGATCCTACTTCTACTAAACACATCATGTTTTAACATTTGTTGCAAGAACTGTGCTGGGTACCCTGCTCAGCTTCCTCTTAAAAGATAAACATAAAAATACTATTTTAGATTTTTTCAAGCATCAATAGATATCATACAACACGATAACAACTAGTAACAGAAGCTTAGTCAAAGAATCTGCCAAGCAGCACCTGCTACATACAAATAAATTTAAAATTAATGCTGCTTCTGAAGACAAAAACAGTATTTTCAAAAATTTTCTGAAAGACACTTTTCTAGAAAAATACCACAAAGATTAACACTGAGAACCTGAAAGTGAAAAACTTTAAGACTCACTGACATTATCAAATAGATCACACATCTTTAGCACAATGAGTCTATGAATCAATTTGAGTTGTTTTGAGTACTGCCTCAGTTGTCCATTCTTACTCAGATTCTTGTAATCTTGTATTATTGGGGGAGGAGAAGGGAAGAAGGAAATGTCTGTTAAAGAAAGGTCGTAGTTCCCCTGCAGTGGTGAGACTTCTAAGCCACAGTCACTGGTTATACAGAAAACAAATTCAGATGCAAGAACATCAAATATAGAGGAAAGAAAACTTAAGATGACTACTGTAAGTGAAGTTACAAGCAAGTTTCTCAACATGTAAGGTTACTTCCAGTATTTCAGCTTTAAATAAAATGTTCTCACAGGGCATTTCAACCAAATCCAAGAACTTAAACAGTAGTTTACTTCTGTTACATGGAAAAGTCGAAAAATTTGCAACTTAGGCCTCATTATAGCACCAAACGTTCATCTACTTTTTCAAAAAAATCGTTTAAGAATGCCTGCTTTTCCAGTTTTGCAATGAAACACCTGATATTCTCTTGCTTTGGCTGTTCTCCCAGTTATCCCTGTTTCAGCACATAACTATACTGTGATAGCTTTCCAAAATGCAATTTCTAGTCTTCAGTTGTGAAATAAAGGCACCCATTTGAAGAAAAGAAGCAAACTGTAGTCTAAAATGAAGACTAAATCTGTTTTCACATAAGCAATTCTGTGTAAACTGCAAGTATTCTGCCTAATTTAGGTACGATTATTCTAGTCCTGCAAAAGGTTGTAGCGAATGAGGACAGATGGCCAAGACAACACTGTCTCTTGTGCTACATAGCTCCAGCTTACATTCAGGACCACAGCCAGTTGTGTTTGGGGGAGGAGGGCAGCTATTAACCTCAGAAATGCAGATTTGTTTTAGGTTTTGTTAAAATTGATACATGAGGTAGAATATGTCATCATTATGACCTTACAATAGATCTTACAGGCCACTATTGATATAGATGCATATACAACAAAGTCAGGGAAGGGTTAACAGATTAAATGGAATCCTCAGTTTGACCCAATATCAAAATTGAAATCGCTTCTGCAGCTCAAGGAACAAAATTCCCTCATGTCATAGTACAAACATAAGAAATACTAACTTTAAAAACAATTATTGACAAAGTTTAAAAAAGAACAACTTACTGTACAAAGTCTTTCTGGAGACAATTAGTTTCATTTAATTTATTCTGATGCATAGATTCAGTAGTTGGGAACCAACCCTGTGTAACAACTCTATAATCTCAGGAGAAGTAACTCCTCCCAGAGTCTGCTGCACTAGCGATTTTCTTCCAGATCAGGAAATTATGAAACACTATTAAAGTTTCAGATAGAATATGAAACAAGGAAGCTGCATCACAAGCAATTGGGATGGATTAATCTTGGCACTTTAACTGTACGGAAATCCTAGTGACGCATCTCTTGCGGCTAACAGAAAGGGGCTGCCATTTCATTCCTGGTTGAGGTTTCCCCGCAGTCCCAAGCCTTGCAGCACTTAACTATGAAAGGAAAAGATACATGCCTGAGCACGTCCCTTGTCCCAACACGAGAAGGGGGAGGGTTAATCACGTCCATCCGCCATTTTCTGAGCGGAGGAGGAAGACATGTTGGAACAAAAAAAAAAAAAAAAAAGAAAGCAACAAAAGAAAGCAGCCATTTCCAGTGCCGGCTCCAAACTCTCAATCTCATCAAGAACACTGGCTCTCACCAAAACAGTCTCACACTTTGTTTTAAACAGAACAAAAATTTCTCACAGCTCAGGAACTGCTGTAGATCTCACTTTCAAAGCACAGTACATACCGACAGGAAAAGACAGTAGGCTGGTGGGGAGGATACCCAACTACTTGTAGAGCTTGGATGGAGCATTTTTCCCTCAACAGCCCAATCCCTTCTAAATAAATCTCTTCTTAATGGTGGTGTCCTGCCTCACACTAACATTAAAGAAAAATCACTGAACCAGCATACATGAATGATTCCTACCGTATATGTGGGATGCCAACTCCTCCCTGCAGAATCTTGTACAGTTTGCTTTCATACAGCAGCTGGGGATGTCTAGCCTTCTGAGACTCCAACTTTACAGCAACTTCCTACAGTGAGAGGGAACAAGGAATCAGAGCAGAGTGTCCACCAAACACAGCCTTGCCACTGAGGTTTAAGGGGCACAGCACTTCAACATCCCCCACACACCCCTGCTGCAAATGCTTTGAGGTATAATTTTTTTAAGCTCTCGGTGCTCATCGTCCTGCATTTTGTTGCATCTTCAAATAAAATCCATATCGTGATGATTTGTACGTAAATATCCATCCCAGGCCATGAAATTGAGCTGGACATGTAAAGTCTTCAGATCCACATAAGTGAGGAAGAACATACGTGGGTGTTTCTTCTTTACAGCTCAGAACCATGAGGGGGAGGAAGAGAAAAAAAAAAAGGAAAAAAGAGCTGAAGAAACAGGGGATCTTCGTTGTTTTTATTACTGTTGATGAAAATGAAATAAAGTGTTCCCCAGATGAGAGAGAGTGGGATAGATGACTGGCTGGACAGGGACGACTTTGGCCGCTCGTAAAAGACAAAGTATGTTTTCCCACAATGGTCGTCTCGTCTCCCTACTACTCATAATCGAGCTATGCAACTGCTGGGTGAGGGACACCACAACCGCATGGCTCTGCTGTCGGAACAGGCAATGCCACCCCGCCGGCGATAAAGGCTCTCAGGCAGGGAAAGCCCCTCAACCCTGGGGTACGCACCATCACTCCCCCACCCCGCGGAGGGCGGCTTAGCCACCCTGGCAATACGGGGTCGCCCGGTGCCTTGCAGGCAGCGATACCGGGGGCAAGGGGGGTAAAAACCAGGCTTCAAGTCGGCCTCGGGAAGGTTATCGCTGGTCTCTGGTTCCCCCCGAGGTGCGGAAGGGACCGCGCCGACGGGCCCAAGAAGGCGAGGGAGTG